GAAAAATCTTTGAAAAAGAAAAAAAAAGGTATGGAATAATGTTGTGATAATAAGTGATGTGTGCCGGTTTGAAATTTGGAATGAAGAAGAAGTGTGATTGAAATTGTGTTTCTTGAGTCTCTTGAGTTGATCACTCCCTAAGGTTAAGGAAAGTTTTTGTTTTTATTAGCTTTAGGACATATCCATTGTTTGTTAACCAAGCCGAATTACAATCTTGAAAAACCCTTGTGATTCTTGCCTTTATATTTTAAGTGTGAATTTTTGGATAAATGCATAATTTAGTCTATCGTTTGCAAGATTGTGGATGAGTTGTTTTTTTCCCTCAGCTTTGTGTGTTCTTCATCTACCGATGAATTTTTACCAAGTGTGATTCATGGTTGAGCTTGTTTTGTTTTAGAATATTTAGTATGATTTTTGTACTTATGATTTATTTCGTTTACATGTTTTCGTTGTAGGATTGTGGGAAGTATTTACCTTGCTTGTGCCTTTTTGTTTGAACCATACATTTATTTTTCGTTTTTAAAATTTGTTGATCCATGATTCTTTGGTTGATCATTTTTGCTTCTTTGAGTTGTTTGGCCTTGTTTGAGGACAAACAAGTTCAAGTTGGGGAGAGTTTGATAAGTGAAAATTATAATTATTTTGTATATAATTTTTGTTGCACTTATCGACTCTTTGTTGTTAATATCAGTTGAATAACCCAACTTTGTGTATAAACATGTTTAGTTTGTGTATAATGTATTTTTGTGTACATAGTGTATCGGTTGATGGTTTTTTATTCATTTTGTAGAAATTCAGGCATTATTAGAGCGTTGAGAATAAAGTCCAATTGGAGCTCCAAGATGTGCATTTGATCAATAAAGTAATAATGCAAAAGAAGAAAATCCATTGAATTTGTGTAGAGAAAGCAACAAAAGTTGTTGTTCTATTGTGCCTCGTCGGGCGAAGCTCAGGCGAGGAGCTTGCACTTCTGCCTCGTCAGGCGAGCGTGGAGCGAGAGGAAAAGAAGATTTTTCCAGTACCTTCTGCTTTGGCCTCGCGTTATGGTCGTCGGGCGAGTTTTGGTTATGTTGTCGACCGAATCTTCCCTTCACGGGCGAGGGTATATATTTTTTCCCAGTTGTGTATGTGGTGCAACATGGGCCTTGTGTTTAGATACCTTCGTCGGGCGACGCTTTTATGTCGCCTGGCGACACGTGCAGACCAGATTTTTGTATATATTTCTATTTCATTTCTTTGGTGAGGGTTATGGTTTTGGGGTGGTCTTTGATCTCCCAACTCCATCAACTTCATTTTTTTAGTGGATTAACTTAGAAAACAACTATGGAGCTTGTATACGAATGATCTGGGGTGTATTGCTCTTCGATCGGTGCTGACAAATCGGGAGATTTGTGGTTCATTTTTCTTCTTCTTTGTGTATTCTCTTTTAGTTGGGTTTGTATATGTATTTACTTTGATCTTATATATATTTCTCACCTATGGCGTTATATAAAATTTGCTTTACAAATCTCTGTCAATTATGGTTCTAGATTTTTGCTCTGTGCTCGGGATTTGGGTTGTTATAGACATATACTGCTCGGATTCTTATCTAGGATGATAGTCTATTAGTTGTTGGATTCTAGAGATAAATTTAGAGCTGACACTCACTTAGGTGTCTGTGATTAATGCCTCTGTGTTGGTTGTGTTTACTGAGAGATCGTTAACGCAAGTAGCATGGTTAACTTCTGTGTTGTTGAGAGATCGCTACCGAAGTGATACAATCTACCTCTCAATTTGGGTTAGAAATTACTTAGGTTGTGAGTGATACGTGATGACATTTACGAGTATTGTAGACTGAGTATAACTGGTCGATAGGTTTAAGTTTGTGAGGAGTGAATTATATGCATGCTTGATAAGTTGTTCCTTGGAAGAATGAATTTATTTTCTGTTAATAGTTTTAATTCACGCATTTACTTCCAACCCATTTTACCCCCACACTCATTAACGAATGATTTGTCAAACGACGACTCAATAAACAATCTATGTGGACATGATACAATATGACCTAAATATCACCCGGTAAATTAATAACTTACTTTTTGCTTGCCGTTTTAACACTTCAGCACTTTGTCATATCCTGGATAAAAAGGGGGAGAGAAATCATGTGTTGAGATCATGTGTTGGACTGTAATGAAGAAGTCCTACTATTGATGTTGTGACATCATGTGTGAAGATTGAAGACTGTAGCTGCTCTGATGGTTTTTTTGTTGCTGTTGTTTTGTATTGTTTAGCCTTTGTTTTTTATGATTCACATTTGTGTATGCAAAGTATATGTAAATTAGTTTTAGCCAAAATAATCCAACGAGGGAGATTGTTAATTCTATATTTTTATGATTGACATTATGTTTGGTAAAACTAATATAGTAGTAATATGTTAAATAGGATGTATTGTCTTGCTAAGAAGAATAGGTTGAGCAAGAAGTCCTATTTTATGTTGAGACATGTTGAGATGAGAATTTATCGTCATCTGGAGAAACATGTCAGATAAGATATCCCAGGGTCATTCGACATCGTGTTTAGTACAACTGGATTGTTGGATTCTGTTATAATTTAATAGATGCAAAATATTCTGGGAATATTATGAAATCCTATGTGGCGATGTGTTGTAGGTCTGGAAGATTCAATCAGAATTCAAAAGGAAGATATACTTTCTAAATAAGAAAACTTTTTAGGAAAGATTTGATTGAAGACCTATTTTGTTGAAGAATCTTCTGCAGATTTGTAACAGCTGATATGTTGTGATTTGAAGCCCAAATCTAGTTGGGAGATAAGTTATAAATAGAAGCATTGCAACCTAGGTTAAGAAACCAATAGTGAATGAAAAGATGTAATTATTAGGGCTGAGTCTGTAATCTACTCTCTAAGAGATTTGGTATGTGTGATCCACTCGATATGTGAATTAGACTGTGTTCCTTGAGTTATAAGGTTTGTTTCTCCTCGAAGCTATGAAGCAAGAGTGAGTATTGTTCTTGGAGGAAGCTTGTAAGCAACTCCAAGTTGTTGTTCTTAGTCAAGAGTCTTGGTTAGGTATTGTTTTATAAGTGAGTCTTCTAATATTATCATGGAAGTATATCTTCTGGTTTTGCGTCAAGAAGTGTGTCTTCATGTTTTAATTCAATCGTTGTCTGTGATTGATGAGAGAGTTGAGGAGGGCCTCATATCTAGGTGAGTGTTAGATAGAAAATTAGCATGGGTACTGATTAAGTGAGAAGTTGTAAACGGGGGAGTTTAGCTTCGAATTGATACTATTATAGTGGACTTTATCCCTGGCTTGGTATGCCCCCAGAGTAGGAGAGTTGTTCTGAACTGGGTTAATAGTTCTGGTGTATTTTTTATGCTTTTCAATACTATTTTGATTGTTATACCTTACCATATTTATTTTAGTCGGATTCATATGTCTCAACATGCCATAAGACATCTGAAGTTTGACATACTACAATTTCACACATTTGGACTCTTTAACCATTATAAATGCACCATACCAGAAAATTATTTATCCAATTTGATCAAACTGATATGCATTTGAGAGAGAGAGTGTGACTCTTTGATTCACTATACTTCGAAATTGTTGCAAAAGATTACAATATGAGTTATAAGAAAATAACATTTCGAGTTCCCCTAAACTTTATTTTTTACCCAAGTGTTTATCGATCTCCTCAACTCTTAATATAAGAATCTCAGAAACCCAATGTATTTAAATTGTTACCCAAAACTCTTTGATAATTTCAAAATTTTGTCAAACCTCAAGAACATAATCTTAAGAATTCCTACACTTAGCTTATCACTAGAATTTCTACCTTATGCACCACATGTTAACAACAAATGAGAGAGAATCATATTTATAATTATCAAAATCGTAATGAGTCCAAGATATCACCTAATAAGAAATAGATTTGCAAAGAAGTCCAAAAAACTCGAGACCATCTTGGACTGTCGTTGTCACCCAGCCTCACGTCGGACGACAAGACTCTGTCGGCCATCAGATAACCAGACTCTATCGACCTTCGAATGATCAAACTCTATTGATCGCTTAATGACCACACTCTATCGACCTTCAGACTACCAAACTTTATCGAACTGCACCGTCATGTGGCTATTTCTCCACTACCATCGTGCCTCTTCCTACGGTGTTTTCGATACCTCTGCTCCATCATTTCGAAAAAAATAAATTATTGAAAACATATTTTCCCACTCTTTTCTCACTTGAAATTTTAAGATATACTACAACAAAAACATCTTTATTGTAACCTTAAAAATATTTTTGTTAAAAAAATGAGTATACAAATTTAAAGCACCTAATCGTTTCCCAAAAAAAAAATATTAAAGCGCCTAATATAAGAATTGAGTTCAAGTAATTTTATAATATTATTTTACCGTTAGAAAAAAGAAGAAAGAAATGATTTTGTGTATAAGAAATTCAATCAAAACCATTACAACGTGTGAGGTCCATCTTTTAACATGTGAATTATCTATGAGCTTTATGGTTAACCTCTAAATTCTTTTCCTTGATTATGTCATTAGATTCCACTATGTACCCTTGAAATGACATATTGCCACACTCACACACACATAGATAGAGATATACGGTGTAATCATAATAACTTGATATTCCTCTCTCTCATCCATGCATGGTATGGTATCCACCACTATCCCCTTTTTAAGAACAAATTTACATACACAACCCCATTAAAATAAAGAAGCTTATAGGTTAAGAAACTTCCTCCACTAAAAACCCTAAAAAATATAATAAAACAAAAAGAGATAAGAGAATGAGGGAATAAGGGCAAAGTAAACAAACTAAAGCCTCTTCTTGCTTTCTTCCTCCCTCCTCTTCTTCCTTTAATGCTCTTTTTCCTTTTCTTTCTCTTCTCTTTGTATTCCCTTGGTTTGATTCTCCACCATCTCCCTAAAGAGCCATATCAATACTTTATAAAAGATAACATAAAGGGATTTACAATACCATGGTTTTCTCTTCTATTCAAGGTTATGTAGATCCACCTAATTGGCATCATCAGGTAAAGTTTCATTTTTCTTCAAATTTATTCATAATCAAAAAAGAAAAGTTCATAAAGATGAATCATTCATATTCCTTGCAACATCTTCTTGAATATACTTTTTTTTTTAAATTACCTTTTTAAATATGTATGTTTTAATTTGCAGCAACCAAATCATCATCATCAACAAAATGGAAGTGATAACGCTCAACTACTTCCACCTTTACCTCCTCAAGTGGGAGGTAATACAGGTGCGTCTAGTGGTAGTGCTATGGGTTCGATCAGACCAGGATCAATGGCTGATCGAGCTCGTTTAGCAAAAATACCACCACCAGAACCAGCACTAAAGTGTCCACGTTGCGATTCAATCAACACTAAATTTTGCTACTTCAACAACTACAGCCTCACTCAACCTCGTCACTTTTGTAAGACATGTAGGCGTTATTGGACAAGAGGGGGTGCACTTAGAAATGTTCCGGTTGGCGGAGGGTGTCGTAGAAACAACAAAAAGAACAAAAGTAACCGTTCGAAATCTCCTACTCCAACAAACTCTCATGAGAAACAAACTTCATCATCGAGTGCAATCCCTTCTCATCATGAACTTATTGGTCATCAGTTACCGCAACAAATAAGCAACTTACCCTTCATGGCCTCTATGCAGAATCATCTCAGCCGTTACGTTGTTGGAAACGTTAACATGGGTCTCGCTAACTCAGATCATATGGGCTTTCAAATCGGTGTTGGTAATGGTAACTGGAACTCACCTTCTGTTTCTGCTTCAACTGCTGTAGGTGGTGGTGATGGTGGAGGTGGCGGTGTTGGAGTTGAACAGTGGCGTAACTTGCAGCAATTTCCCTTCATGAACACTTTCGAATCAAATTCCAGTGGAAACAATTCATACCATCTTCAAGGAGAAACTATAGAAACTGCAACAACTGGATTCGTTGGAGATCATATAGCTTCAAACTCTAGGGTTGTGGTTAATCAAGAGCCACCAGTTAAAAGAGAAGAAAACCGTGGCTTAAATTCACTAAGAAATTCTCTTGGTGTCTCCGAACATAATAACCAACAACAATACTATTCATGGAATGATTTATCAGGTTCTTCAACTACTCATCTCTTATAACCATCAACTATTTTCATCGAACGAATCAAAGCTATTTAATCACAACTTCAACTATGATCTCGATCACTCGTATTTACTAACGCAGGCATGGTAGTAGAATCGAGATCTTCTTCTTCGTCTTCTTCCTCTTCTTTTTCTAGCTTTTTTTTTTGTTCTTCTGGTTTTTCATGGAGTCAAGTAATTTATGTACTACAAATATGGCTTGTTTTGCTTTATTTTGTACAATTTTATGTGTGTGCATGTAATATTTATGTTATGTTATGTGTGTGTTTTGTTTTCTACCTAACGTTGTAATCTCGTTTAGTACAAAAACTTTCCTTCAGTTTACTTATTTTACACTATTTTTGCACCATCTTTTACCTACATATTCATATATGATAATCAGATTCAGATTCAGCTAAAACAATAAAGCATGGTTATAAAGAACTAAAGAATGTGATGACTTTAGCTTTAACAGATACATTTTTCTTGTTTGTTTAAATTTCAAACTATAGCTAGCTAGAAAATTAAAGTTAAGTATATATATTTGTGATACGAATATTTGTCATGCATCTGGAATTAATAATAGATATATGATGAATGTGTAATTGTGTGCACAAGTTGGATATATAATTGAAGGTACAGGCTAAAGATTCTGACACACTGGCTTCTTTTTTTTTTCTTTTCTTTTCTAAGGATCTTTCTCTTTATCACTGAGAAATTTAAAGAAGTTCTTTACTACAATCCAGAAGCTGGTATTAAGTTCTATTTCTTGGAAACTTGAGTGTGACAGTTATTAAATGATATCTGAATATGTAGTTTCCTCAATAGTGTCGAATTTGATTCCAAGGAAACTCTTCTCATCGTACTTTAGCATATTTGTATTGGGTAGTTTTTTTTCTTGGGGTTTGAAATTCAGTTATACAGCTTATTTGCTCAGATTATTGTACCATCAAAGGTGTGAGTGAGATTAGCTACAAATTTCGATATTTTTTTTAGTCAATCAGAATTTCATCTTTCACGGTAAATAAGTGAGATATTGTAAGTTCTATTATGAATCTGCACTAATTGAATGTTTGTGCCGCTATCAACTATCAACTGAGTTGAATTAATCAGATTATCTTTAGTTTATTTTGTGTTAGAATATACATTTAGTGCATGAGTCAAGAGTCAAACTTAAGATGTTTGTAATTATTAAAATATTATTAGATTCTTAAGATGGGACGTGAATATTTGTTGGATATTAGTTTTTGAGTGGAATCGACATTGAAAGAAGACGCCAAAATCCCACTCAAAATCATGCAATTCTTTCTATATTCCACAAAACTTAGAGTGGGTGACTCTTGAAGAACTTCTTCAACAGAATAAATCAAAACACAAACATGAAATATCTTTTAAGCACTTGTGTGAATTTCAAAGGGAAAAAGGAAAAAGACTATGGTCAAAATAAGTCACAACACATTTTTCTAACTTTGTAGCCAAATATATTTATGAAAGCATATTCTCTCCCTGCCACGTAGGACATTTGATTGGAGTGATAATTTCATTTGAATTCCAAACACCTAATCCATCTAGTCTAATTGAAGTAGAGTCGAGAGAATCACACATTCGAAATATAAGTTTTTATTAGCGTTTTAAATTGTAATTCACAATTACAAGTCTGACTTTAATATTATTGATGTAATAGTTTCTTCAAAAATATCATACTACAATTGATGTGTGATGGTTTGACTCAATTATGATATGAGTATCATACAATTTTGTCCATATTTTTTCGATTTTTTTCTGTTAAAACTCAAAATTTCAGAACTCAAAACTCGTGATGTAAAAAAAAATCTTAACATATTAAAAATTCACACTACAATGTTCATGTCGCAACAATCATAATAACTGCAATTGCAACATCCACAACTGAATTTACTACTACAATCACAATTTAAAACGATAAGTCTTCGTTAACCGGTCAATCACTAGGAGATAAGAATTTGATGTTTTAAGAAATAGTAATGGAATTCAAGAAGGATATGGTTGATGATAAACAAGTATTAAGTGTTGTAAGGATCAATGTAACCTTTCAAGAACGAATAAAGCAAAGACAGACAAAAGCTATGACCATGTGTTTGTACGTAAGCAGTAAATAGTTAGCCAGATTCCAAAAATGTCGGTGTATGTGGGTCTGAAAGAAGAAACATTGCTAAAGATAAAGCAAAAAGTAAATAACAGCACAGTGTGGGCTAAATTTCCAGACCCTATAGTATATTGTACGAAATCAAAGAGGCTCAGAAATTCATGCTTGATTACTTTGTGTGAGTGTGTATGAAGTATGAACTCTTCAACATTGAGCCATCGTTAATAATATATGCATGGGTTATAACTTATAAGGACCTTATAATATTTGCTTCCTTTGTCTTACTTTCCCTATGCTGCTTCTGCTTCTTCGTCTTCTTCTATACTTGTATGCTTTTTCTTTTTAATTGAAGGTAGGGACCTATCCAGCCATGAATGCCAGAGACAGTTACCAACTTTATAGACACAGTTCAACAGCTAGCGTGAATATATATGCATAATTTTTTTCTAACTAGAAGGGAAGTGTGAATTCTGATTGAAACAAAAGCACATACCATGTTGCTCTAGATGCTTGCGGATTAACTACCTAAAATTTAATACTATGTGATGCTTATTGAGTAAATATGGTTCATTTGTATAGAAAATATAAAGGTAATATTACCATATGCTTTATTATATAAAAAATACAAATGTTTCAGTATAAGGAAAACTAATCCAAGGCAAAACCGGTTGAAATTACACTAAAACTTATGAAAAATTTTGAATCAGTTTTGATGAATAAGATTCAATCACACCGATTGAATTCCATCTTATTCTTCACTCTTCATTCGAGTGAATCAACCAACCTTGATTGCAAGATGATTCTGCTGCACAATGATTATGAAAGAAAAGATGAATTAGGGAAGAGGAATTAGGATTTTAATGAAAATAGGGGAAAAAGAAAGAGTTTCTCTCTACTCTCAAAATTAAAGTTTGATTCTATGCAACTACTTGTTTACAATAATGGGGTAACTCCCTATTTATACATTTTAAGTTTGTTTACTCGCTTAGCAAACTACAAAATATCAAATTCTGTTGAGACAAACAAAATAAGCTTAAGTCGAAACTTCTTTCGAGGTACAACTACTTAGACGTTTCGACAACACTAGGTATTTTAACAGCAACATACTTTGGCACCGTGAATTACATTCTCAACACACACTACGCCAAATAAGTTATTTAATAGCGATTTTTTATGTTTTTAATTGCGCTTAAAAGCACTATTAACCACGCCGCTATTGTAAACGTTTTTTTGTTTAATATCACTTTAAAAGTGCTATTAAAGTACCGATTTTTAATAGCGTTTTTCCTTAAGCGCTACAGAAGTGAGTTTTTTGTGCATTTTTTTATTTCATTTTGATAGCACTTTCAAACTAAGCGCTATTATAAGAAACATGTTTGATAGTACTTTCAAACAAAACACTAATATATGCATATTTGATAGCGTTTTATGTTAATAGTGCTATTATACGAAGTTTCTTTATTAGCACTCTCTACAAAGCGCTATTGCAGTACACTTTTTTTTTGCTATACACAATCATTTTTTTGGTGTGCAAATATCAAAAAGTTACATTCAATGCAATATCAAATAACACTTTAAATTACTCATTGCATACATATTATGATCCATCAATACCAAATAATATTTTAAACCAAATCCACTTGTTTACAAATATCATAATATATATTGAGGGTATTTAGTGCATTAAAAAAAATAAAGCACATTTGCATAGCCAAATTTATAGGTGCATGTATTCCAACTAAGAGTGCTTCAATCCAAATCTCAAAACAAATATTCATATTCTCTAAATAAAACACCTAAAAAAACAATAAAGGACAATAAAACAACACCAAGTAGTAACCACATTTCACGAACTAAAAGAGTTGAACCCACAAATACAATTACTTAGTTAGGTAAAATAATTTCTTGTTTTCCTGTATCATAGAAGAAATATTAGGTATGTATTGAAAAATAAAAAGTAATTCAAGATATATAAAGTAATCAAACATTCGTTATAACCAAATCAAGAAATGAAAACAAAAGGTATAAAATTGAATCAATATCTATCTATCCATATAAAAAATTATACAAAATAGTTAACCAAATAGAACTACCACAAGTTAAATTCTCATTAATAAGAAACCTCTCATACTTGAAGTGCCACATGTGGGCACATGGCTTCTCAGAACAAGCAAACAAAACAGAACGCATAAACAAAATTCTAATAGCAAACACAGGCGAAATAGAGGTGGGTGTTAGTTTTACTGATTTATCTAAGCCTAATATTAATTAACATTATGTAAAAAAATCTTGCGAGTACTGCACCAAATACCATTGAAGAGTTGACATGAAAAGATGCAATCAAGCACTAAGACATGGATTCAGAGTAAAACAACAACACCGATCAAATAAAAAAAGACAAAGCAAATATTATAGACTTAGTTTAAGGCACAAAATATTATATATATATATATATATATATATATATATATATATATATATATATATATATATATATATATATATATATATATATATATATATATATATATATATATATATATATATATATATATATATATATATATATATATATATATATATATATGAGTAATACTAATACACACTCATGTAGGTGTATATTAACATAATACATTCCGAACATATTTATAAACAACAAAAATAATTTTTACGATTATTAAGAAATTCAATCAAATATAGTTAACTTTTTAAATTTTGGTGAAAACATTAATTAAATTTATTATAATGTCCTCTTTATTAAATTTAATGGAATGTTTAAAAATAAAGCAGAGAGGTATATTAGAAATTATATCATTAAATGATTTAGTAATAATTGATTTTTGGTTATAACAGTGACCAAGAATTTAAGCATTTTTGTTGCTTATAAATGTGT